TACAATTTGCAAGTCAGCGGTGTCCCCTACACTGTTACAAAAATGTTATCCCTTGGCATTTAATATTGTTGAAGACAAATAGCGATTTTTTTCCGCACGATTTGGTTTGATTAAGTATAACACTTAAATTATCGACAGATGAAACAATATGACGGAAATGCAGGAGACGGTAGGCAAAACGTGAAACGCCGTCAGTGATCCCGGAATCATGCCAGACGTAAATTGATTGTTTTCACCAAGTAATGATACCGGTCGTCAAATTTTATTTTTAATTCTCGGTATTGATAGTAACATCTGTTTCAAAATTCTTAACATGAAATCACTGCTGATCATAGAGTAAAAGTTCAAAAATCTTGAAGATTCACTTAAAAAAAGTATCCTTCTGGTGTAAAGATTGTTAAATTTAGTTTGTATGCAGGATTTTTCGCCCCACGAACCTTGTCATCTTGATGCGGGTCCTCCGTGTCGTCTCTGGTGGATATTTCACTGAACAACATATGGAAGCCCCGCCGCATCCCGTCCAGAGCAATTGGTGTAAAGTGTCTAGACACAAACTGGTACGTTCTTTCCGAGAATTGCAAATCAGTGTACTCGGATCGGAACCCGAGTTATACTTTTATCGAGGTCCCGTCTGTGTAGTTATTCACGGAAGCTATCATCAGTGTAATGAGATAATAAGAAAAACTGGTTTGTTTTCAGTAATTAACTACAAAACAATTTCTTAATTAGCACAAGAAATTACGAATGGCGGACCAGGGTCTTCAATCGCGTGTGTTAAATACTGGTGCCATTGGTCTTATTGTAAAGCGCTAAGCACGAAGGGTTACGCCCTCCAAGTAAAAGAAGTGAACGAAGAGAGCCGAGGACGGCGTCCCAGTGGCATTCCTCCTAGGTGAAGATGAACGTAATGTGGTTTTTTTTTTTTTTTGTTTTTGGTTTTTTGTTTTTTGTTTGTTTTTTTGTTTGTTTTGTTTTTTTCCTATTTGCAACTTTGTAAAAGGAGCTTTTTCCAGTTTGGCAGATCGACAAGTATTAACAACGTCAATTCCTTTTTCACTAACAGGCGCCAAATGAAAAGAAAATCTGTAAAGGAACCTCTACATCGGACACAATTAACACCGATGATTTTGAATAGTTACCCCACGTGACTTTCTGATATCATACACATCAAAAACAAAAATGCCGCTGCCCGAATCAAGTATGTTTTTTTTTATTATTTCAAATATAATGTCTTAAATTACTATAAGTTTGAAGTGCCAACTTCCAACAAAAGAAAAAGCAATCCAACCAAACTAAATGTCTGACCACGGCTATTTGAAATTTTTAGTGTAAGTTGAAAAATATAACATATATCAAAATAAGGGTATCACTGTTAAACAGGTATATTTCAGATGGAGGCGCCTGAGGGGTGTTGCTGTGGGAAGAAACCGGAGTACCCGAGGAAAGCCCATGTGGTTGGGCAGATGACTCCATACCTTTTCATGTATATTGCGGGATTCGAACCCCGGTCCGTTACCAGTCCGCCACCCGACCACACAACATGTTGATAGTGATATTGTTATTTTTACAATATGATATACAAGATTATATATGTTTCTCAATTCCTGGTCAGAATTTCAAACACCTGTGGGCTGATGGTGGCTGCTGGGTATGATGACCTCCAACTCCACTACAGAAGTTCGTGTAAAGTATATAACGTCAATAGAAGCCACCTCACCATATTCGCAAAGCGATAGTCAGAACATTGATTATCTTAAACGTTGACCATTGGTCAGCTCCAAATTTCTGGCTAAATTTGTGAATAGGTTATGATTTTGAATTCCAACTTTGCTATAACAATTTTGTCGGCCAGCGAGAGTCTTCAGTTCGAAGTTGATAAAAACAGAGTAAGTATTTGACTAAAATGTAAAAATAATTTTGTAAACATGTATTATATTTAAGAAAAACTCAATGTTTTAACTTTCTTGTCGGATTATCCATGACAATAAAAGAATATGAACAAGTTAATGATTGACAGAAAAGTAAAGTCATTGGAAGGTAGAAAAAGGCAAACGGAGCCCCCTCACTTACTCTTGTAACTATTTTTCAAAAAGGAATTATCATGTTTCGACACTCACAACAACACGGATAAAAGTTGTATTATACAATTGGACGACAGAGTACATGCCAACAGTTAAATCTTCATGATTGATTTCTGATTGAAGTAGCTTCTGACGACCAGGGGATTAGCTCTTTTATAACAAAGATGTTGAGATGAAAACATACAAGTTTACATTTCAAATAAACTTTGTACAATTAACAAAACGCGAAAATAATTGTGAATTTATTTTATGAAACGAAAAGCACGATTGAATACATACATATAAATCATTCGGACAACACATGCCCCTCCCTTTAAATAGGTCTTATTTGTTTATCAACAGGTCACTTACTTTTCAATTTTTATTTTTCAAAATCATGGTAGAAGTTCAAGTAACGCGGGTGGTTTGCCATAACACTGAAAATTGCCTTACTAGATTGTCCACCGCGCTACCGACCCTTGTATTTTTGGGCAGAAATAGGAAACACTGATAAATTTTTGCCTAGACTGGTCTCTTATTTTTGTTACCAATACTTTTCAGCTTCATTGTAGACAACTAATGAACAACTCTTTGAAAAAAAATACTGAAGAGCTCCAGAGTTACCTCCCTTCACTTACAGTGACCACCGTGCTACCGACCCTTGTTTTTCGGGCAGAAATAGGAAACACTGATATTTTTGCATGGACTGGTCTCTTATTTTTGTTTAACAACACTTTTCAGCTTATAATGAAGACAACTAATGAACATGTCTTCGAAAAAAAAAAAAATACTGAAGAGCTCCAGAGTTACCTCCCTTCACTTACAGTGACCAAACCTGAAAAGACGGAACGGAAAATGCATGTTCATAATATCAAATTATTCCTATTTATATCTAGGGATCTAAACAACGTTGCTACTTAATATTCATATAAAAAATGTCAAGATTTGAAAATAAATAGTGAAAACTAACCATACATTTTCTTCTTCAAAACTTCGAAACTTAAAATTCAGTCCTTAACAGGTCGGATTAGAAGACACTTCTACTTAAGTAATAATGTTACCGTGGAACACCTCATTCAAAAAATAAATCAGGACTTTGTTATAGTAAATACTATTCCAATTAATGTAAAAGCTCTGATTTTGCAAGTACATGTAATTGCGTTTCATCATCATTATTATTGTTATTTATTTATCGATATCAATGCATATAATTCCGTCTCCAGAATAAAGTATGTTGATCCAGCGACGTGATATATGTCTCTGGCTGAATATTACTGTTATATTTGATCTCCCAGTGGCTATGATCACTTAACAGCACCCATGGCTTGCGAAGAAGTGTTTTATATTTTGTCAGATAAAGTGCTTCTCTAGGAACTCGCACGGGGTATTACGGAGAGAGGACACCATGACACCGAGGGAAAACCAACGCGGTTTCAAGGTTTAACGTTTCATTCATTCATCCTTATGTGTGTAACAAGAGGTCACATATATATGTACATATAGTTAACACGATAAGTGGCGTATGAGAAGTAAAAAATTACAACATTTTCTGTAAATAATAATTCACTTTTGCATTATTACGTGGAGAAGGAACACAATTGGGTACGGAAATTAACTAAACAATATATCGAAGTTTTCTATAAATCTTCAAATTTTTGTCAAGATTTTTACATTGAATATATCAAACAAACATGGAATTGTAATTTGACTTGGAAAAGTGAAATAATATTTTGGAATACATTTCTCTCTTAATCCGAGTTTTACTGATTCATTTTGACAATTGAATAGATAGGGAAATCCATCTCCAATATCGGAGTTAAATAATGTACAGGTTCTCTCTTGACAAGGAATACCTAGACATCTTCCTGTTTCTACAGGTAAGTTCATATTCTGAGAAGGAAACTTTAGTATTAAGATTTTTTTCTTGTTCAAATTTTGTCTTAAAATGGAATACGTCTGCATTTTAGATGATTTAAGAATATCATCGAGCCATTTCTGTATATATTGATCCTTTAATCTATCTTTCACCAATGTCTTAATTGCATCTTTAGAAGTGACATGTTGTTTGATAGTATTAGACATAATTCAGGCCAGTTTGTAACAGAATTTCTTTAACATTTGTGAGCTATTTAAATGGCATGGTTCCATTTCCTTGTAACATGTATTAACTTGATACTTGATAACTTATTGGTGGTAATCAACTCATACCAGAATACTATTATTCTACACTTAATGTCTAGTGGGTATGATCACCATAAACAAAGAAATTCGCTTACGCCAAGTTTTATTTCTATTTTTATTTCTTATCAATACAGGAGAACAGGTGACCCCATACCTTTTCAATGTCACTTGAGCAACCTAACGGCGGACGACTTGATGAAAGGAGTACGCGTTACCATTGCCACGGACTTGTATGCGCCACCCAATCATCCCAAAAAATAATATATTTGTACAGAAAGTAATGAATTGATGTAGCATATCTGATTAACAATATCATTTAATTTTTGTTTTTACTTGTCATTACAGCATGTTTCTAATGAATAACTTCTATTTGTAACCCTATAGTAACATCATCGCAATGAATTGTGAGTCCAGCTTCCCTTATTTCATTCACGTGCCAGTACACGTATCACTATGAACAATGCCGATATCTTCCGGGAATGATATTCCGAATAAAGGTTACCCTATTCATACTAGCTACGGCGAATTTCTGATCATTACCGTTATCACTCGTCCTATATTTTGTCCATAAAGTCATATCATCAAAGTAATCAAATCTTTCAAACAATATTTTGTACACAGTGTCGATGTGTCTTAACAAATGAATAGCTTAAAAAGAAATATACATGTATCCAATTCAGATTGGTCTATTAAGAATATGGTAAAGTTCACTCCCATCGCCATATTGTTACCTCTCTCATGTCGCCGGTTGACTCACTTCCTGGGTGAAAGTTTGCTGCAGACTCAAGTCTTAGTCTAATTTGAAACCAAACATGGCTGGAAGGCTTCCAGCGGTTGTCATAGATAATGGCACGGGGTATGAATTAATATTATGTTTGATGTCTTCAACAAAATCAAAACACCAAACCCGAAAATTGTCTGGGTGGGCGGACCGCACGGGTGTTAGTAATTTGGGACAGCGATATTTTCGGTCTTTGGTATTCAATTTTGCATGAATGTCATTTGATCGATCCAGTCACTCGTCGGCTATTATCATGTGTAATGAATAATTCTTCCTTGTACGTATTATTGTTCCTGATATCACGTGATTCTTTGCAGCCTATACGATGTCCAGTGTCTCACTGTTAACAGGAAATAAATGCTTGACAAACCAGCCATTTCACTTCCGTGTTTGAGTTGAGCACTGTGCACACCACGATACACATTTATTGTGAATCACTTGTGTCGTTTGGCCGACGAGCTGAAATAAGGCGTTGTCTACTAACGTGTTCTGGCTAAAATGTCAGTCGGTCCGAGTTTCAAAAGTCCCACGGGGACTCCAGCAGTTATAATTGACAATGGCACGGGGTAGGTCGACGTTCTTAACTAGTTTTTTTTCATTTACTTTAATCTTTAAACTGTCAGCAATAGTACTAGTTCATTGCAGGAAGTAGACTGCTATAACAAACATTGTAATTTCCTTGTCAATTTTGACAGCAATAATCTAATTTGATGTTCTTTAGTTGTTTGAAAAACCAGTAACTATGCAAGTGTTCCCTTTTTCACAGTGATGTTGTTTATTTACAAATACAAATGAGGGAGAAATATTTAATTATATATGAAACACTATGCTGTTGATTATCTGTTAAGGAAAATAGCTGTTATTTAGTTAACCAATAGATCTGTGGAAAAATGTTGGATGCAAACAAGGTAAAAACTATTTTGAGTCTGAATCACCCATGAAGAGATCACTATAAAATCTGTTGTCGAATGATTGTCAGTCTGATCTTGGTCATGGGATTGACCTGCTCAAATCATGAAAAAATGCCAAAGTTGCATGATATTTCCTGTCTTTCAGTATTTGAAAAATTCCAGATTCAAATTTTAGATCTATTTTGATCAAAATAATGTTCAAACATGTGCATAGAACATTATCTAAATACATACAAATGTGATAACTTTATAATAGAATTAAGTTCTGCTGGATAATCCTTTAAAATTCCATATCCTTGATTTTGAAGAGCTATGACTAGATATAATGATTAGAACCTGGTGATGCTGAAAGTGAGATTTAGAATATTTTGCAAATAGTTATATTCAATGACATTTCATTGAAATTCTCAGAATGTTGTATATTACAATTTCAAAATCACCCCAGAATTATCCCATAGCTTTAATGACCCAGATTTATCCTGGAATAACGGTATTATATAAAATTTACTGAATTACAATTAGATATTGTCAACCTGTTATTTAATTGTCAATGTGATTAATAATTGAATGATAGTTCGATATGAACAGTACTGTTGTAACCGAGATAAATAAGATATATAATTCTATCAATTTTACTTTACTATTTATAGATTTGGAGATACAGTTTACCAGTATTTTAACAGCCATCCTTATGTTGGTATATTTATTTCCTGAGTTTATTGCCAGGGTCTTTATTTGGCAAGAGTTACTTGTAGTATCTGATAGATATCTCAATGAACAGCATATGAGAGGCCCATGGCATGCCACAATTAGGATAAAATTGTCTTGCCCAAGGACACAACCATGATGACGCAGACCAATTCGTTTCTCAGCTTCCTGCAAAACACAAACAGCAGTTGGTAGGAAGTGTTGAATCGTATTCCTGGGATCGTCACTTGCAGTTTCGTTGGCCAATGCTGTAATCAGCGGCGTTTTCGCAACCCAATTTCTTTTAGACTAATTAATAGTCCTCAAAAGATAGTATTTTTGGTGGACTACAAAATAGATTCATGGGCAGAATTTGATGATTGTTAAATAGTTGTTTGATATGAGAGATATTAATTATATGTATTTTGTATTATATCACAGCTACACAAAGATGGGATTTGCTGGTAACACAGAACCCCAATGGATCATTCCATCAGCTATAGGTGTTAAAGAGTCGGCTACGGTTGGTGACCGATCGATACAGAGGCTCGGCAAGGGGGTAGAGGATCTGGACTTTTACATTGGTGATGAAGCTCTCAGCACTCCTTCTTACTCTGTGAAGGTTTGTTATGAGTTTGTATAAAATTTTTAAAGAGATTTGAATATAAGAGAAAATGTTAAGAAAGTGTGGTAGACATAATTGTACCTTGTTACAGTCACCAACAGACATTTACGAAGGTGTTCAATGCAATACAGAACTGGATTTGTTAGATAATTGTTCTAAGAGGTTTTATATCGATTAAGGAATTTCTATCTCCACTTTTAATCCAAAAAAAATATTTTGTAAGAATTTGGGAAAGATTTGGGAATGGTGGCTAGGAAAGCATTTTCCTGAAATTAAGTAGAATGCCTGTTTGTGTTGTCATTGTTGAAACAGATTACCACTATTTATAGTAACAGGTGTCTCAGCGGTGATGCACTGGCATTTCACAGAGGCATCCAAATGAGTTTTCCTTGGATAGTCTCCATCCAGGACAAAAGTAGTGATAATTGTTATGTTCTGTTAACCTGTGTGATGATTGTTGTAAATATGATACTCATAGACATATCACACTGGGAATTCAGTTCACTCATGTGAACATATGTGAAATAGATATTTCGCTTTGAATGCAAAAGTAAAAGATCATTTTTGGGAGTCAAAAACATACTGTCATGGGAAAACTGAATTCCTTTGTAAATAATGAAGTACATGCAGAATAGATGTTCTTGTAACACAACCAGTAGAAGATTAGACTGTGATGTTTTATTGACTACACAGCAACCTCCATCAGACAAATGACCAGTGTGGAACGTATTAGCACTAAAAAAAAAAAAAATAAAGCACATGGTCACAAAAGTTGACAAAGAACTTTTGAGGAATGAGATTTTTATTGTAAATGTGCATAAATGTGCAATTTTTCATTGTGAGTTGATGGAATTATTTCTCATTGCTTTTAAAGTTTGTGATGAAAAGGATTACCACCCGAGAATATAATCAAAGTACGAAGAATTGAAAAGTGTAAACAAAGAGAAAGGCACAAAGAGAAAAGAAATTGCTAATGTTCTTTGCTTTTAGTTTAAGTATCTGTATCAATGAAAAGCCTTTAAGAGCTGAAGTGATATTTTGTGATGGAGTATTTATCTATTATCAGTGGCCGATTCGACATGGCGTGGTAGAGGACTGGGATCTTATGGAAAGATTCATGGAACAGGCAATCTTCAAATATTTACGATCAGAACCAGAAGATCATTTTTTCCTCCTTGTAAGTAAGATAGGTAATAATATAAACTTAAAAGTCTGATTTTTTTTTTTTTTTTTTTTATATAGATTAATAGATTGATAATTTTTAGATGCATTTTTGCTTGGAGTATCTCAATACTCAATTCCATCATACACATTTTTAGAGAAACTGCTTTTAATGTGGTCCTGACCATATTTTACCTTAAGGATCCCTACCACATCTGTTAATACAGAATTTGGGAAAAGAGACAAAAAAGAAATGACTTAACTGTGATATCTCTGCTGAGTCCTCGTATAGTCTGTCGTTTTGCTCTCATTTTTCATTTGTTGTTAAAAAAAAATCAGAACTTCCTGGAAATTTGAATGGAATATGCTTATCATTTGGAAACTTACAAAACGAAAAAAATATGGGTTACTCTTCCTTATTTGAATGATTTCATAATATATTGTTTTTTGTTCATTCAGACGGAACCCCCACTCAACACTCCAGAGAACAGAGAATACACAGCAGAAATTATGTTCGAGTCTTTCAATGTACCAGGTTTATATATCGCTGTACAGGTAAGATGGTGACTTAAGTTACATATAGAATGTAAAGTGATGAACTGTGAATTCTACAGTTTGTATCCCTATTTAATCATGGCATATTGGAAAACTCAAGTTTGACACCTTGATTTGAGAGAAACGTAATGAAATTTTAAATCTGATTTTTGAAATTGCAAATACAAGAACAGTATCTTCGGGTAGCATTAGATGCAGTTTAAAATGTTAAAAATGAAACCGTGTAGTTTTAAAGAAACCTTTATTGATGTACATTTACAGAGAAATTTGACATCAGATGTTGACAATAATTACTTTGAAGTATTCTTTTTGCTTGTCCTGAATATCACAAACATCAACACATTTATCATTTATGGGACCTTAACTAAGATGGACGTATAGTTGTATGAGTTGTGAAAAATGTTATTTTGTGTTATTTATGGTGTAAGGTCTAATATTGTTTACATTAACAGGATGGTCTCATGATAAGTCACAAGCCACTTGATAGAATCTCAGTTGATTTCTTTATGAATTTAAACTTGATTGGTTTATCTTGTACAACTTTATAAATATCTGTAGCATTATTCAGGATTACATTACTTACATATTATTTCCTGTTATGTTTGAATTTAGGCTGTGTTAGCGCTAGCTGCGTCTTGGACGTCTCGACAAGTAGGGGAGAGAACTTTAACAGGAACTGTGATTGATTCAGGAGATGGTGTTACACATGTTATACCTGTGGTGAGTATAGATATCGGATGCAAGTCATATTTTGAATTTTCAAATTCAGATGCTTCAAATGTTGAGATCTGAAGTATAATTTTGAAATAGACACTCTTATGTTTTTCAGGATAGGTTTGTATAATCCAGACCAATTTTACTTGAGGTAGCAAATTGACCATTAGTTGATCGATGTGTTTGATCTGTAGTAACTTATTATTTTGTATCCTTTGGCTGATTATTGGTAACTTTTTGATTTGTAGGCCGAAGGCTATGTTATTGGTAGCTGCATCAAACACATCCCGATAGCTGGGCGGGACATCACATACTTTATACAACAACTGCTGAGAGAGAGAGAAGTAGGAATACCACCAGAACAGTCCTTAGAAACAGCAAAAGCAATAAAGGTAGGATTACACAGTGACATCCCATAATTTTCATATTTTCAGTCATTGCCAAGTAAGAGCTATGCCAAGTAGAACGAAACCTGCAGTTCTTCAGCACTCTCCATGTTAACATGGTATAAACATGCTTTATAAGTTCGTGACTCTCTTATATTTGCTTATATGGAACCATGCTATTTCTGAATGTTACCAAGGATGAACAATGACACCAAACTTCTTTAATTTTTTCATTATAGCGAAGTTGGAACCACAAGTAATTCTCTAACTTTTGTGTTATTACAAAGATAGCACTATAAGACATAGTTCACCAACTTTTTCGACAAGCATTGTTCTGAACTTCTGTTAATTTTACTCCACAATGATGTTACAGAGATCTGTATGTCTATCAATCAATTCATGGTTTTTGTCTGTCCGTCTGTCCACTCATGGGTTCTGTACATCCATCTGTCCATTTATAGTGACTTTCTCCTTTACTGATATCATTGTAAAAAATTATTTCAAGAAATACTACAAATTAGTTCTTAATAGATTTGGGAAAAAAAAAAGAATTCTTTAATAAATATTTTAAAAGATCCAAACAAATAGGTGCATTTTAATGGATATTTATACATAATGGTGGGAATCGTTTAACATATCTTTCTGATGTCTCTTTCCTCTTCGCAGGAGAAATATTCTTATGTTTGTCCAGATATTGCTAAAGAGTTTGCAAAATACGACAAAGACCCCAGCAAATGGATGAAAAGGCATGAAAGTATCAACAGCATCACAAAGCAGATATTTGGGGTGGACGTTGGCTATGAAAGATTCCTCGGACCAGAAATCTTCTTCCATCCAGAGGTATAATATAGTTTGTTTTTAGAATAAATCTAATCTGTTCGTACTGTAGGGGTGAAAATAAAATCTCATTACCCATTTAGAGATTATTAAATGGCAGGGAAAGTCCTGGGAATTGAGAGCAATGGTATATTTTCCGCTATTCTTCAATTGAGGTTGATGGTGAGGGACCCAGGACCCTTTTGCTTCCTGAAAGGCTATCCATGAAATGATATAGCCCTTGTCTTTGCCTCTTAGATTAAGATTTTTTGTTTTAATCGGCATTCTCCTATGTAATAAATACTACAGGTATAGTCTGTGGATCGATGTCATTTCACCTACGAAGTTCATTTTTGTATTCTGATGTGTGTTATATATACTTTGTATATCATTAAATAAGCCAAGGGGTCTTGTCTGAAATATTGGATTAAAAGTTTAAACTTATAACAGAAATATCAAATTTGTTGTGAAATAATTTTGGGAATGCTGCAAAAATTATTCATTTGCATTGTTTCAGACATAGAAATATTTATGAATTTTTGTTGTGAAATAGTTTTGGGAATGCTGCAAAAATGAATCATTTGCATTCTATCAGTCATAGAAATATTTATGAATTTTTGAGGTAATGGATGTTGTTTAATCAGCAGTTATTGTGCTAGTACTTGGAATATTTATCCCTTACGCAGAATTGAAATATTTTTTCAAGGAACAGGTAAAATAAGATATCAATTTGGTATAAATCTATATTTTTCATATATTCTTTGTACAAACCGTGTTATCTTCTTTGTTGATTCATATTTTATTTCATTTTTTTTTTTTTTAAGTTTTCCAATCCAGATTTCATCACACCTATCTCAGAGGTGGTCGACACTGTGATCCAGCACTGCCCTATAGATGTTAGGAGGGGTTTGTATAAGGTAAATATATACATGTCATACAAACATTTTCTGATTTATTCTTGACATCAGGTTGCTTCTGTGAAAACATTGGTGAAATGTCTAGATACAGATTTATCAGTTTTTGTGTCAAGGTGTGATAACTTTGTGTACAAGATATATCATGATCACCTTACCAAGATCTACACCCGAGAAGATTAGTCAAATGTCACTGTAAACAACTTTTAAGATAGTTTGTATATAAGATGAGGGGATGGGGGTATATTTGTGTGATCTCTTGCTGAAGGTTATAGGTCAAATGTCACTTGACAACTTTTAAGATAGTTTGTATATAAGATGAGGGGATGGGGGTATATCTGTGTGATCTCTTGCTGAAGGTTATAGGTCAAATGTCACTGTTGACAACTTTTAAGATAGTTTGTATATAAGATGAGGGGATGGGGGTATATCTGTGTGATCTCTTGCTGAAGGTTATAGGTCAAATGTCACTTGACAACTTTTATAATAGTTTGTATATAAGATGAGGGGATAGGGGTATATCTGTGTGTTCTCTTGCTGAAGGTTATAGGTCAAATGTCACTGTTGACAACTTTTAAGATAGTTTGTATATAAGATGAGGGGATGGGGGTATATCTGTGTGATCTCTTGCTGAAGGTTATAGGTCAAATGTCACTTGACAACTTTTATAATAGTTTGTATATAAGATGAGGGGATGGAGGTATATCTGTGTGATCTCTTGCTGAAGGTTATAGGTCAAATGTCACTGTTGACAACTTTTAAGATAGTTTGTATATAAGATGAGGGGATGGGGGTATATCTGTGTGATCTCTTGCTGAAGGTTATAGGTCAAATGTCACTGTTGACAACTTTTAAGATAGTTTGTATATAAGATGAGGGGATGGGGGTATATCTGTGTGATCTCTTGCTGAAGGTTATAGGTCAAATGTCACTGTTGACAACTTTTAAGATAGTTTGTATATAAGATGAGGGGATGGGGGTATATCTGTGTGATCTCTTGCTGAAGGTTATAGGTCAAATGTCACTGTTGACAACTTTTAAGATAGTTTGTATATAAGATGAGGGGATGGGGGTATATCTGTGTGATCTCTTGCTCATTTTGGTTTTACTTCTTCAGAATATCGTTCTTTCTGGAGGCTCAACTATGTTCAAAGACTTCGGTAAAAAGTTACAACGAGATGTAAAGCGTGTCGTGGACCACAGATTAAAGATTAGTGAGGAACTTAGTGGAGGGCGAATAAAGGTATGTATAGATATTTATTTCTCATGGTGGCTTGTTCTAGTAAACAATCGCAGTAAAAGTATCCTATATAAAAGTCGAAGGAAATTACAAAAGATCTCAGCCTTTCAGTCTTTATGTTGATTTTTCTTGCTTTGTATGTGAAATGGCTCTTGGTCAGGTCTCTTTGTCTTGTATGAGCTGAATTAAGTCTTTGAGATACCGTCAGTTATTATGCCGTAATTGAAAAACCTTTAGAATTTCTCCTGATATTGCTGTTTCACAGCATTTTTGACTGCAACAATTCAATGTGCCTCTTAACAAAAAAGTTTGAAAGACAAAAACATTTCAAGAGTCAGTTGAAACTTTTAACAGTTGAAAAGGTTATTAGCAAGTCTGTGATGGTATTAATTATATAAATCAGAGTTGGCATTCTTCTGTCATTTGTCATTTCATCTTTTTTCTTTCTTTCAGCCCAAACCAATCAATGTACAAGTAGTGACTCACCATATGCAGAGATATGCAGTATGGTTCGGTGGAAGTATGCTAGCCTCAACTGTGAGTTTCAAATTATCAATTATACCTTGAAACATTTAACTCAATGGAATCTTAACATTCATAGTAAAATCATGAAGACTGATATATATTCTAAAACTTTTGACGACCTAGTAACTTCAAGTCTGTCCTGTTTCTTAACATGGTTGAACAAAAATAAGATGTATGATTTTGGTGATTTGTTGAAAGGAATTAGATGGTGGGCTATTCAAATCGCCCTACATCTGTGGTCCATCATCCGTCCATCTGTAATCATTTTTTGTTATCGCTATGTCTTGAGAAGTACTGGATGGATCTTTCTAAAATTTCCTGTTTGTTTCCCATGATCCCTTGTTGTGCCGGTTTGATTTTGGTAATGATCAGTAATAGAGAATGGTCTACTGGTGGCCATCTTGGATTTTAACTTCGAAAGTTTGTTTTGGCTCTTGAGAAATGCTGCATAAATCTTTCTCAAATTTCATGTATAGGTTCATCTTTGTTGTAAGTTGTGCCTGTTTGAGTTTTTTGACTGATCAGAAAAACAAAATGGCTAACAGGCAGCCATCTTTGATTTTGCCTAGTAAAGATTGTTATTTCTTGAGAAATAGTGAATGGATCTGTCTCAAATTTTATATATATGTTCCCTTTGGTCTCTACTTGTGCCCGATTGATTTTGTGAGTGATCATAGGAAACAAATGGTTTCCAGGTAACCATTTGGGATTCGGCAGGTAAACATTATCATCACTATTTCTAGAAAGGAATGTTCAAATTTCTTAACATTAAGAGCAAAAACAGAGAAGCGAAGAGAAAAGAAGGAAAAAAAACCAATTCAAAGAGCAAATAAAGATCAAACAATGATGGGTGCTTTCTGGAATCTCTTGTTTGTTATGTACATGTGACCATTATAGGCAAGTATTTGTTATATACAGGTGGCCTTTATAGACAGGTATTTGTTATATACAAATGACCTTTATAGGCAGGTATTTGTTATATACAGGTGGCATTTATAGACAGGTATTTGTGATATACAAATGACCTATATAGGCAGGTATTTGTTACATACAGGTGGCATTTATAGACAGGTATTTGTTATATACAGGTGGCATTTATAGACAGGTATTTGTGATATACAAATGACCTTTATATGCAGGTATTTGTTACATACATGCGGCATTTATAGACAGGTATTTATTAAATATAGATGCCCTTTATAGAAAGATATTTATCATATGAAAATTATCTGTAAAGTACAACTAGATGTGTTATTGATACAAACTTTTCTTTCTTTCCAATTTTACAGCCTGAATTTTACCAAGTGTGCCACACAAAAGCCGACTATGACGAACACGGCCCAAGCATATGCAGACACAACCCTGTATTTGGGACAATGTCCTAACCGTATCTGCCTCCTAGGAACAAATTGAACTCATAGACTACAACAATTTGTACACAGACCAGAACCAAGGAGTTGGTGGGGAATCATGAGAGACATCCGACTGCCAATTTGACTACTGCTGCTGCGAGTTGATATTAATGCAGAAACCATTGAAAGGCATTCTCATGCTTGTCAGTGATAAGGACTTAAACATTCTGTTATAAAATATTTAAAAAAAAAAAAAGAAAAGAGGAATCGGTCTTGGCTTAATAGTTGAAGCAGATATTTGAATGGTTCCCAGACAAATGTAATGTCAGATATTTGCAATTATTTGATGGTATTTTTTTATTCTAGGAACATAAAAATGTGAGTAAATTTAAAGCATATGTTTCGGTACAGGTAGAGTGTTGAAAACAACCAGTAGCCAATTCTTGGTTTCTGATGTTCTGCTCTAGCCCTATAAGTTGTAATTTTGCTCACAGGCAAGAATCAAAGACATGATTGTATGCTATTTATAGATCGCATTATGATTAATACACATGAGTTTTATTGAAGACAGTAATATATTATCGATGTAAATGTTCAAGACTTGTGAGCATTACCGTAAAGGGGATATTTCACTCAGAATCTGACTGAAATATCTCGTAGGAAGTTTTATCAGGTCAAAACTATCATGACTAATCTGTGATTAAATTTGGTGCATTACTTTTTCATTACTTAATGTCAGTTATACATGAATAGTAAACATGACAGTTACTTACCTCCATGTTTAAATTGATGCAGATGTTCAGTAAAAAAATAAATAACAGCATTTTTTTTTTTTACTTTTACAATTCCAAATTTTACTAAATATTGTTTATTTAATTAGTACACCTTATGTAATCAGTTAATGGGTAACATCATGGACAAATTAAGTGACTTTAATAACACTAACAAAACTGAAATGGGAAGTTTTTCTTGAGTCATGTGATGCTGTTAACTATGATTTAATACACCAATTGCCAAAAATGATAAAAAAAATCTAGTTTTGCATTTATATTAGTGATAGAATCACATTTTTTTTTTATATATACATAATTTTTTTTTTTTAGAAAGTAGTGCAAAAATGAAATTTTTCGATGGATAATGATAGCGAAAATTTCCTTTAGTAATACTTATTTCAGCTTGAAAATGATGAGTTTTTTAAGTTGATTCATGGAGTGTTTAAAAATTCAGTTGGTATTGAAATGCACAACAATTTTCAACTTGGCAGTAGAATTTATGTTTGCTCTGAATATCTTTCTCTGATGATGCATGTAGCTTTCTCCAAACAGATGCAGTAGCCTTTTTTTAAAATTACGTCGGTAAATAAGGTTATCATGCACAAGAAGTTTCGTGTTCATAAAAATGTTGCTGGTAAAATATTGTCAGTTTTTTTACCGTTGACACTGAAAAATCTGATGTATCTTTTCAGCACTTCAAATTTTATGTGGGGCAATTTTCTGGATGCTGGAAACATGAGATTTAATAATTTTGTGCTGTTGGTAAAGATATTGGTTTGAAGCCATTTTGATATTATCAAAGTACAGTAATGGTCGGAAAGTATTGTATAAAAAAAATTCCCAAATTACGACATTCCAAGTATATGTGCCATTGGGAATTGATTTAGTGCTGTTCATACATTGGCCATCAGTTCTTTGGAAAATCATTAGTGATATTTGATATGACCGGAGGTTGCCTGTCTGTTATTATGTCATGTGGAAAATTCAGCAGAGACACGTTTGAATAGTGGAGTATGACCGTATCTGATGGGCTGGTTCCTATTTCAGTTCAAACTTCAAAACTTCTGACAAATTAATTTACCCATCATAAAGGAACATAAAATGTAGACATATTTAAAAAAGTTGCTTTTTTCTTTTGTAAATTTGTTCCTCTGCTATCGGGTAGTCTGGAATTGGCTAGAGATTTATGAAGTATGTTCCCTTTTATATCAGGTAGCGTTGATTTGTTTATTAATATTATTCCATACAGTCTGGTGAGGAAGACGGTTAAAAGAGGACATATCTGCACCATATAACACCACTAGGCCCCTATCTTACAGATTATGTTATTTTTATTTCATATCATATTTATGTTAAGTATATATTTTTTTATCTTCCAACATCAGTGTAATAGTATAATTATGCTGTTAAATATGCTGTTAAAATGCAGAAACTATTACACCCGACTATAACCTCAGTAGTATGATCTTTTATGATTATGACATTGCGAGATGATAATGTCTGCTTGATACTTGGAATGAAAAAGAATATTTTTGTTTTAAAATCCTAGTGAATGTTTTTTTTTTTTTTTTTTTTTATGAAATTGATAGAATCTTCCCTATCCTTGGCCCTTGACATAGAGAGAAATAAACTCCTGGGGAAAGGTGATTACACACGAGACTTGCAGAGTATTAGTAACATAATAATCTTTACCCAAGGGTTGAGATTGACGATTCCTGTGTAGAAATTGTCATTCTAGGAGCCACACATAAGTTTTGTTTGAAGCAGCTTCCCCACACTTGAATGTGTCGCCTTGCTCATAGAATAAAAATTTCAGGAACAGCTTAACGTTTATAACAAGTTTAAGACATGAAAAAGTGTGTTATTGGGTATATCTTCTGCTTAATAGGATTTTATTTAGCATTTTCAGACAGGTAGGAAGGGCTTGAAAAAGATGTTATAAAATCTTTGTTGCAATATCAAAAAACCATAGCGAGAGATAAAAGATATGATGGTCTTTACTTGTAAATTAAACAACCTTACTATGATAATAATCATACATAGTACTTGTATCAAGCTTGATGTATACTGTATACATGTGTTTCATTATTTGTTGACTATCATTTTTGGTATGTTGTGAAAAAATTACTTGAAATATCATACATACATGTTACCTTTTGTTCCTCAGAATGGAAATTTTTTTGCAGTATAAAATCTGTCACATTCAAAAACGGTGAATTTGAAATCTGTTTTTATTATAAAAGTTGATTTAGAGAAGTAATTCAGTGTTTTGAAAGTGCATTTGAATAATGTTGTAAAACATAGAGAAGTCGAAATGGAATGAGATGATAGCTGTATCGTAGGTATTTCAAATGAAACTTGACACCAGTGTACTTTTTACATTATTTTCAAGGTATTGTTATTCTGCTGCAGGTAATTTTCTTTAGTTTAATGCATAACAAAAGAATTTTCATAAATACAAATAATTAAGATATTTTACTCTCTTCCTATAACTTGTTTGCTATTATTATTTTTTTTTCGTACCGTCACATGAATCTGGTCAAAGGATTGCTTACAAGACATTTTCAAATTGATCAAATTTATTTCTAAAATAATTCATAGAAAATAAAATTAATGTGTACAGTGTAGTTTATATCATATATTGACTTGAAAAGCAGTTTACATGGGGTATTATACATGTATCATATACCTACAGTTTGCTAAACTTAAACATAGTGAAATAGCAAACTTTTAACACAGATTTTCCAGATTATGGGAAAACCAGCTAATACTAACACCGTGTTAAAAAAGGATATAGGAGAGAAAAAAGATGGAAGGTTTGTTCTTCAACTAGAAGATTGTAAGTATAATGTACAAACGTGGTAACATTTGATACAAAATGATATGTAAATATTAAAACATAAAATAATAAACAGCTGTGTTGTTGTACTTTATGTGTCTATCAAGGAAATGCATTTATCACATTTTGTTTTTTACACAGTATATTTTTCACATTCTGCCCTATTATACAAGTATGAATTTGTTGTTCACTGTCAAAAAATGTCTTATATTGTAAACAATGAAAATCCTTGTTCTGCCCTATCATATTAGTGTGAACTTGTTATACGTGGTCAAAAAATGTCTGATATTGTAAACAGCGAAAAATCAATTGGAAAACTCCTTTAAGAAATGTTTAAAACTGTTATAATTTATAAGAGCGACATGAATGCCCCGGCTGGAAACCAAGAAGCTTAGAAGTTTTCAGTGTTTAGGCTTTGTTTAGAGGTGTGCTCATACTCATGAATGCAACATAAATGATCTAAGAATCTTAAAAAAGATTGAAGTTTCGTCTGTGGACTTTCTTTTTTTCTCTCCATCTCAAATTGCCACTGGAGTTAGGCAAGGTCATAAATATTTATTGACCTAACTCTGGAAAGCATCATTTGACCAAAACCAATCAGAACTTGATTAGCATGTATACATTTTTGGTGTGCATTCACTTTTTTGCTTTATCAACATAACTGATATACATACTTTTATTAAAGTCAAGTCTGACATTTTTTTCTCTTGCCAAAATGGAATCTGCTATTTTGCTATTCCATCAGTTGTTGGGCTGTTCTGTCAGTGAGTGTAACATCCAATGACTGAAGATTATGCTCCTCAAAAATTTTCAGGGGAACATATAATTGTATATTTGTCTGTCTTTCCTTTCATGTCTAGAGCATATCTTTACTCACAGTTAAGAAAGGATCATGAGTTGTATATATTGGTCATACTAAGACGATGTGTAGCGTGCCAAATTCTATGCTTCCAACCCCTCCGTCACGACCACAACTTTGCTTGCATTTAAACTAGGATAATGAAATGTGGACAGAGTTATTGCCCTTTGTTAAAATTAAGTGTTCAATAAAGTTGTTCTTGGGGAGCATTTGTCAGTTTCAATGATACTCATCTATAAGTTAGCATACATAAAAGAAACAAATATAATAATTGTCAAAAACTAAGGATAACAAATAATTTTTCTACTTTGTTGTTTACTGGTGTGTAAACTACATTTTTAGGTCATCTGACCCGAAGGGTCCGATGACCTATAGTCATCATGCTTCGTCCGTCGTCGTCCGCCGTGCGCCGTCCGTAAACTTTTCATTCAAACGACTTCTTCTCAATAATTGGAAGGCCCAGGCAACTAATATTTGGCCTGTAGCTTGCTTTGATGAAGCCCTACCAAGTTTGTTAAAAAGAATGACCTTGACCTTCATTCAAGGTCACAGGGGTCAAATGTCTTAAAATCTTCAAACGACTTCTTCTCAATAACTGGAGGGCCCAGGCAACTAATATTTAGCCTGTAGCTTGCTTTGATGAAACCCTACCAAGTTTGTTCAAATGAATGACCTTGACCTTCATTCAAGGTCACAGGGGTCAAATGTCTTTAAATCTTCAAAGGACTTCTTCTCAGTAATCAAAAGGCCCAGGCAACTAAAATAAGGCCTGTAGCATGCTGGGATGAAGGACTACCAAGTTTGTTCAAATGAATGACCTTGACCCACTTTAAAGGTCACAGGGGTCAAATATGTTAAAATCTTTAAACAACTTCTTCTCAATAACCAAAAGGCTCAGATTGCTGATATTGTGCCTGTGGCATGCTGGGATGAAGGGCTATCAAGTTTGTTTAAATGAATGACCTTGGACAACTTTCAAGGTCACAGGGGTCAAATATGTCAAAATCTTTAAATAACTTCTTCTCAAATACTAGAAGGCCTAGGGGGCTAATACTTGGCCCATAGCATGCTGGCATGGAGCCCTACAAAGTTTGTTCAAATGAATGATCTTGGCCCACTTTCAAGGTCACAGGGGTCAAATATGTTAAAATATACAAAGGACTTCATCTCAATAAGCAAAAGTCTATGAGTGCCGATATTGGGTCTGTAGCATGCTGGGAGGAAAGGCTACCAAGTTTATTCAAATGAATGACCTTGAACAACTTTCAAGGTCGCAGGGGTCAAATATGTCAAAATCTTTAAATAACTTCTCAAATACTAGAAGGCCTAGGGGCCTGTAAGATACTTGGCCCATAGCATGCTGGCATGGAGCCCTACAAAGTTTGTTCAAATGAATGACCTTGGCCCACTTTCAAGGTCACAGGGGTCAAATATGTTAAAATATACAAAGGACTTCATCTCAATAAGCAAAAGTCTATGAGTGCCGATATTGGGTCTGTAGCATGCTGGGAGGAAAGGCTACCAAGTTTATTCAAATGAATGACCTCAACCCACTTTCAAGGTCACAGGGGTCAAATATGTTAAAATATACAAACGACTTCTTCTCAACAAGCAAAAGTCCATGAGTGCTGATATTGGGCCTGTAAGATGCTTGGAGGAGAGGCTACCAAGTTTGTTCAAATGAATGACCTCAACCCACTTTCTAGGTTTGGCTTGCTTTTTGTCAGATGACCGTTAAGGCCCATGGGCCTCTTGTTTAAACATATTCATGTGTGGTTATTTGAAACCAGGAAATGAACAAAATAGTTTTTACCTGCAAACTTCCATTTTATTCCAACAAGATATAATTTTGGTCAACTTCCACGAGTATTTACAATAAGCAACGCAATATTTGTACAGTACATTTACATATTATGGAATCATCATTTGGACAAAACTTGGTTTTGACACAACTTTTAATAAATAATATGACACCAACACATATACATACATGTACATTTCTAGTACATGAAAAGTTTGTTTCTCTTTTAAGTTTCTGTTTACATATGACTTCTATACTCTCTCTAAAGAAAAGAACTGGTATATTGGATTTTTTTTAAGTGAAATGATGTTCAATAATTAAAATACTGAACTGAACATGATTATGAAGATAAAATGTCTGTAAACAATAAACAGAAACAAAATTGTGTAAATGTTTAGTTGCTGATAAATCTGATACAGACTATAACATTTTTTTGTAACAAGGTTATAAATCTGATACAGACTATAACACAACTAAATACAAACTAACTAGAACAAGAACTACAGTGAAAACAAAATCAATATTTAAGACATCTTCTGTAAATTACTGTAGGAAACCATATATAACCTAGACATGTAACATTACCCTCTGGAGGTACAATATTTGGGAATTCTGTAAGGAGAAGGAGTTATGAAAAATTGTGCAAACATTGGGGTTTGAACAGGTGACCTTGGGTCTTCTAGTCAAACACTCTACCACTTGACTTAAAGGAAATTCCCACTATCAGAGGCTAGTAAGAAGACATGTACTCTCAACTTTTACAATTCAAACTTGTAAATTGCACTAAAACAACTTGGATCTGGTTTACATCCAAATTTAGAAATGCTAAGAAATGCCAAGATAATTTTATAATTGACTACTCTATACTAATGAGGCCACAACTAAGGTAGCACAAAGTGCATTCTTTAATTTTTGTAATCATTTATCACTACATCATATAATACTTGTTAATACATGTCTTAGAATATAGAAGAATCCACAAAAAAGTGACCTGGATTTCTTGATAGTAATACTTTTTTTTTTTTTTTTTTTAAATCTGTTGATTTTTTATGAATGGTTTACCATTCACCTAACTTCAATAAAACAATCAACTGTGCTTAATATATGATATATATATATAACAGTCATGTGGTTAAGGTAGGGAGTCACATCACTCTTTTGTATCTCCATGAAAGGAGAGTGTCAATTTTGCTTGACAAAATAACATTCAGTTTCATAAAATTGATTGTCGGGAAAAAGTTGTAAACAAAAGTCTTTGTAATAAGAATTAGAAAAAAAAAGAAAAAAAAAAAAGTTTGGATCAACAGATTTCAGATACTTTCGTTTGACTTGGTTTCATGAATAAATATAGCTTAAATGTGCTTATATGTACGAATATTGAAAAAAAAGCACCCACCTTTACCACCAATAACGAGATAAGTTTCCAAGACCTGATTAAAGTATAAAATTGGTGTCAAAGATGGGATACATAATAGATCTATTGCTGATGTAGCACTTCAAGCTTCTCTTTGCACTGAATTTACATTTGAATTTAATGATATCAAGTGATTATCTCTGCAAGTTTTATCTATACAAACTTATTACTCAAGTTCAAGGCAGATCCCCAAATCATTAGTGCAAATTTGGTCAGGTTTCCAAATTATTTCTCTACGGATTTCAGCACCTTCCAGTTACCTTGAGAATTTCATTCTAAATTCAGACTTGACTTCTGTTCCGCAACTATGAATATCTGCAGGATACCAAAACATCACAATCATAACTGGTTTATTATAATTAAGTACAAATATTCCTAGTCATATGACAGGAACTTGGTATACTTCAAATTTTCTACAGGAATATGATAAACTCTACCAACTGAAGTTGTAGCAGGAATTAAAACACATTACGGTATTGTAAATCACTTATATATTGTGTCGGATTTATTTTGATGTTGATACATGAGGAAATTCAATCACGAATTCAAATCTATCGTGATTACTTGTACCAAAATAACTCTGGCTGGCATGCATGATAATTCGGTAACCGATATCTGAGTCTGAAAGAGTTCATGCCTGTAACAGATCATTATTCATGAATTATAAGTAATTTCTAGATCAGCATTTGCGAAATCATGTATTCCAGAATACGTCCGAAGTGGTAAGTTTGCGAAATAAAGTACTCATGAAATCTAAGCAGTGTACAGTAACAAGAAGATCGCCTTTCACCGGGACTACTGTCCTTACATTCCCTGATCAGACCCGAAAAGTTATAAGGCCCCCATGCCAAGTCTTCTAGTACTTATTTCTTCTAACAGTTAGACTCTCCTTCAATCTACATTCTGGCTGAGAGTTATGATTAGTATAATAACTTATTCAAAATGTTGTAAATTATAAAGTTATATACTTTTTACTTTTTACCAAGAAAAATATATCAA